ACAAATTTAAAGAAGCTCGAAGCAGATTATACCTTTAACAGTTCCATTAGCGAACTTAGGCACACCATGAACCTGAAACCTAGTTTTAATTACATCTAAAGGACACACAAACGTAGCAGCAATAACACCTACATCAAAATCAAACACAAATCAACAAACAAAACAATCATAAAAATCAAAATAAACAAATTCCACGAAATTGAAATAAATTATGATGAGAAAAAATTGAGTACCGGCGGAGGCACCAGAGGCGGCATTGAAGAGGATACATTTCGGGACAATATTAGTGGCGGCGGCGGCATGGGGATCGGAGGAAGGCATGGTTTGTGAAATCGATAGAGAGAGAAGCGGAGGCGAAAAGGGAGTCCTCTCTGGAGAGGGCAATGGCGGAGGAGCAAGGTCGCATGGCCTGAAATTGGGGAGGAGAAGGAGAGACGGAGTCTCGTTCGATGGATCGAATCAAGGGTGAACCATTTGAGAGATGAAATTAGGGTTTGGAGAAAGTCAACGCACGAGTCAACTTTGGCACCTCACCACATGCGTTCCCTTTCCTCTGCTTCTCCGTCGTTGAACCACAAGTATCGAAATATCATTACGACTCGTTTCACCTTGGTGGGTCCTACCTATCAAATATCAATAACTTTTATATTTTAATCATTATTACCATCTTGCTTAATCCAGTCATAAATACCGCGGAAAAATAACATTTCATAATTAATTACTAAAACTACCCCTTTCAAATCTTTTTAATTCTCATTTTAAAAATTCAATACTTTCTCATTTAAAATAAATATCTTTTAAAGTTTTTACACACAAATTAATAAATATATATATTTTCATGACACATTGCATTTTTATTAAATTAGTTTTATTAATTTATTGAAAGTAGTGTACATAGTAATAATTATAGTATATAATTAAAAATAATAATTATCATTACTACATTGAAAAATGAAAATGATATTCATTTTAAATTTTTTTTTTCTAAAACGGTACTCATTTTAAAATGGAGAGAGTAAATTACTACAAGTATTTCCATACTTATTTAGCTAGGAGACGTGAAAGTATGTTTGAATTGGTTTTTGGATGAATCAGAATTAATTCTATATGTGTAGAATTGGTTCCAAGTAGTTGTGAAGGATTTGTTTTATCAAAATTAAAATTGATTATCCCTCTAAAATTGATTTTAATTAAAGTTAGAATTTGTGTGTATTTGATTTTGCGGTAAAAAAAAATAATTTTGAAAGAATTGATTTTGTAAAATTGATTTTAGTAAAAAGTGAGTTTAATATATTGTGATTTATGTTTGATATGTTCACAACAAAAGTGATTTGTGTATGAAAAATATTGTTTGGATATTTTTATCAAAAATATTTTTGAATATGTAAACGACGAAAATGATAAAAAAAATGATGAGAGTTATAGATGTTATTCAATTTAAGGGGAAAAAAAGAAAAAATTATGTGAAGGGAGAATTGATTTCAAGAAATTAAGAATGAAAGCTTCATAAAAAATCAATTCTAAACCAAAAAAAACACAGTGGTAGACTATTTTAAAATGCCAAACACTTCATAATTGATTTTAATGGTCTGAGATTGATTTGGATGCTTTCTACCGGATAACCAAACATAGGCTTTATATCTTCTACCTCCATAATTAATTATGGATGGTTTTTACACTGAAACTTATTATACAACTCACTGTTATAGAAATGTATTCAAACATAAATTAATTATATTAAACTCAATTTTGTTAAAATCAATTCTACCAAACTCAATTATGCTAGAATCAATTTTGTTCACCGCCAATCCAAACACATCTGAAATGTTTTGTAAAATGGTGGAGTAGAGTCTTGATGCAGTTGCAGAAATCTTCAACACGACGGCATGAAGTGCATTTGGAAAATTATTACTTTAACACTCAAATAAGTTACAGGATGAAAAATATAGTAAATTATGGTTTAGAGAGATATTACCTTCAAACATATGTCTTATATTTGAATGGTGGTTATGGATGCTCCCTACCATTTCAGCGTGTAATGCGAGAGATTGTATGATAACATATAATTGGAGGAAACAACCCCTGTGTGGTGGATCTTGTGTGGAAATACATAACAGTTATATTGTATCTCTAGTACTTTAGTTGTGTGGACAGGGTTTGGGCCAATGGTCGGGCTAGAATGATTGTCCCCAAAACTTGATGTGGTGCAACAACGAGAAATCTTTGAAAAACTAAGTTTGACTTATTATGCAGGGTTTGTTGCTTGTTGAAGTGGAAAAGATTTTGGAGTCGACTTGAGTGGCCTTAGAAATGAAATGTTAGTCTCATCATTGAAATGTCTCGCAATATCGTACTTACCTGTGACCCTAGATCTTTAGATTATGCATGGTGCTTCCATTTATGATGCTTGAGTGTACTTGAGTGTCATTACACTATCGAGGCAAGTCAAACTATTATTTTTCATCTGCCTATTTTCTTTTATTTAGGATCTCTAATTTACTTGTTTCGCTCTAATATATAAAGGTTATTTCACCTTCTTAGCCATGTTTCTACTCTTTGCACAAATTGTAAGCCATTTCTTATTTTATGAACCCTGATTGGTTTCCTTTGAGCTCTGATAACTCGTGTTCTAACTATTTGTTTTCATTTTTTAATCATGCATTTTCTCATTTCATCACATTCCCAAAATTATTGTTTGCTTTCATCTTTTCCTCGAGCTTCAACTTTTTCAAGTATCATTTCTCTCTTTATTTACTGTTGGTTATTTTCCCCTTCTTTGTTTTATTCATGTCTGGTGTGGGAGACGATCCTACAAATGTTCTAGAAATTTCTAGTGATGTGAATGATGCTTCATCTTGCACCGAAATAGTAAACTCAAAAATGACAGACGACGGATCTTTAGTAGTTAATCGACTTATTTCAGAACTCATTGTTCTTAGAGACAGTTCTTTCTTTGGTGGGGGTTGTATAAAGAATGACAGTGAACCCTTGAGTTTCCATCTCGGTGAAACTATAAATGGTTATGCTGACCCCGTTATTAGGGATACTAACATTGGTCCTTCTTCTCTTGAGCTTGTTGAGGCCCACCGGGATGAACTAATAACTCTTTTCTTTATTAATTTGTTTAGATTTGTAAATGGTCGAAAACCTAGTATTAAAGGATCACCTCAACTTTCAAAATCACTCCTTGATTCATGACTCACATTATCTTTTTCATGACAATTAAGAATACATGGTTCGAGAGGAGTGTTAATGTCTCGTCATGCCTAATGATGTTCCTCAGTATAACGGTAGATACGGCATCATTAGGAACAAGTTCCTTCTTAAACACTTAGAAGCTAGAATATACTTACAGAGATATGGGACCATCCTCTGATGGGTTTATTTCCCATGTCGATCATAGCATCAAGTTATGTATCTCCTTCGAAGAGTGTTTTATACCTTTCTTTAAAATTTTGTTTTTAGGATGTGATTTAAGTTGCCCTTCAACATATTTGAGAAAAAGGTGTAGAACCACTTGAGAACTTCTCCCTCTCAACTTCACACGGTGGTTTAGACATTTTTCAAGGTATTTCAATATTAGTGTGAGTATCGAAGTAAGGAAAGGATCTTAAGTTATTCCTCCACATCTTCAATGGGACACGTTCAAGGGTCGTTACTTTTTTTTGACTCCCTTGAATCAAAAGGCTCACTCTTGTTTTTGCATCCTTCTAGAAGACGACCATTCCCTCTCTATCCTTCTTTGTTCGGAACCGATGAAATGTAAAGACAAGATTAAAAATTGTTGGGTCTGTCAATATTTCTTCCATGCTCCAAAAACATATGCCTTTGTCTCTAACTCTTTGGCCTAGTGTGAATGGTCTTTGAAAGATGACTTAGTCTCCTTTTAGAAGAGTTTGAGTTAAGGAGTCGACCCTTCAAACTTATTGCTCCCAAAGTAGAAAAGGTTATACATTAATACATGTTCGGAGGAAAATATCTTTATGTTTGCCTTTATTATTCACAAAATATTTGTATTGGTGGTCTTATTTCATTTCGTAAATAACAAGAGCGTGTTTCAGAATATATTCAAGAGAAAAAAGACTCACCTTGCCAAAGATGTTTATCAAATACTAAGAGTATCTCTAATGGTGCTAACCACTTTTAATTTTTTTTAGAACTCATTAAGCCACCTCATCTTGAAGCAACTCATCTAATTTTTCACTCCAATAGTAAAATTCTAAAAATCTTATACTGGGTCCCATTATTTGACTTTATCTATTAATATCTTATTTATATTAATTTTATTTTAATCTTTAATAAATTTATTAGGTACTTTTATCATGTATTTTTATTGTTTTATATCCAGCGGAAACAAATAAAACCGGAACGCATTGCCAGCTGGAAAACTTTAGAAAAAACCAAGCATCGGAGATACTCCAAGAGGAAAAGAGACCCACCTATGTTTATCAAACACAACTAAGAGGAAAAAGACCCACCTTGCCAAGGAAGTTTATCAAACACAACTAGGGACAGAGATGTGAACATGACTTTATCCATATATGTACATTAATACTTTTTGTAGTGCAATTACTATAATAATAATTAATAGTTAACTATTTAATTATTCAATAACTTTTTTCTTTTATTTGATTTGTCCATGAAATTGCTTGAGTGTTTATGCAACACAAATTATAACAATAAATAGATTTTAAAATAAACATTAAGTTGGATCGGGAAGAAAAAAATATGGCAGGCCACAATGAGCCTGAGGCCAGCAGAAAAATGTTTTCTAAACTATTTAATTTTCATAGACTTGAATGTACATTACATAATAAATAAATATAAATATAACTTCTACAAATAGCTTAGCTCTCTTTTTTTTTATTGAATAGCTTAGCTCTCTATACTATAGACTAGATATAATTCTTACACATACTAATTATCATCTCAAGATGAAATGGCCTTCTTTTTCTCTCCTTTTTCCATCCACCAAATTGATAAAAACTAATATGTATGGGTCAAAAGTCAGGATCAAGAATAGTAGAAAACAAGAGCCCTTGTACAAACTCACTTCGTCTTGCTTTCTCCACTTTGTCTTTCTCACATAAAGGTGGTGGAACATCTCTGCAATAGTATACAAAATGTTTTAGATTAATATTACCAAAAGAGAGATAAAAGTAGCTACATAAATCAAACATCTCAACTAAAATGCAGTTTCATAAAATGACTTGAGACATATACCTAATAATGACTGTGGTGTTTATTAAGCACCAACTTTATTGTTAAACATGTTCTCTCTTTTTGGTTTTTTCATTGCTTCCTTAAAAATATTTTATTAAAAAATTATTAAAAAAATTAATTTCTATATTAACTACCTTAATAAGGTAATCAATGTCTTGCATACACAACCAACATGGTTTTTAAACAAGAACAAAACAACAGAAATGCTCGAAAACACAAATGACTCCTCTCAAAAAATATAAGACACAAAAATAATTCATGAATCCCTGTGCTTCTTCAAGGACTTGCATACACAACCAGGTTTTTGTCTTATATCAGTCATTCATTCATTGCCTCATTACCTATACTACTAGATGGAACTCAGATCCAAACGAATAACACACTTATATTGCCTTTCAAGTGTATTTTTCAACCTTGCAGCGATTGCAAAGTTGAAATATATATATTTTAAATCATATCTAACTGTTTAGAGGGATGCTTTTAGTGTTTTTAATGTAAAGCACCTGTTAAGAACATTTCAAGATTACTGCTTCACAAAGTTAAAGTTGCTACCAGAGCCTCAGAGGTAAATCTTTTGGAACCAACAATCATCCACAAACTAAATATCAATGCAATGGATCAAGCAAACTGCACGGCCAATAAATTTTCCCAATCATCCACAAACTTCAATTGTCATAACCAAAAGTAAACTGTTGAAATTAAAATGAACTGTGACCTTACCAAATTAGACCAACAATATAAAGGATTTAAATCCAAGAGGCGACACTTTTAACCACCATTTCTAACTTGAAAATCAGTCTCATAGTTATGAGTATTGAAAAAATAGAGACTAAAAGAGTAATACAAAATCTCACCTTTCTAACAATGTTTCATCTGAGTGTATTTCTTCAGTGCTTGCTTCACTTGAAGAATCAGGCTGCACATTTCCGTGTTCACCAGAAGCAGGCGAGCCACATACAAATGACAGAAATGGATCACAAGCCGCCTTGGAGGTTGACATCCCAGGCGATGACAACCCGTCTGAAGAAGATTGCAAGTGTCCATTCCGTCCACCCTTTTTTGATAACGAAAGTTTCGGGTACAAATCATGTTTATGGTATTTTGATTTGAGATTACTGTAATCAACAGTAAAGGAAGCACATAGTTGAATGAAAGACAAATGAAAAAACAGAAAAGAAGTAAAACAAGACTACAAAAACAAATCGATACTCCCTCTGGTCCCTATTATAAGAGATAATTCACTTTCTAGATTCATGAAAATTCAATTTATAAATGATCAAATTATATAGACCAGATACATTAATTACTCAACGAATCTAAAAAATGAATTTCTTCTTATAATAAGGACTAGGGCAAGAAGTATGTAGTTAGATGAAAGTAAAAACATTTCTATGGTGAAGATCAAAAAGGATATCTTAAACAAATTTCCATGTTGAGCTGTTATGTGCTCAACCAAATCTGTTCCCACCCACATGCCACAAACAGGACAAAGCTGCATGTAGAAACAAAGATAGATATAAATTAGTATAATTCCATAAACCTGAGTTTGTATATATGCACACATAGATATAAATAGCACTGCAAATGATAAATTAGAAGAGAAATCTATTTATATGGTATAAAAGAAACTGTACACACTTTTGAATTTCAAGGACTATTTGCAAGTTATCATCATCAACTTCTAAATCTGCCAATAGAACCCTCAAACCCAGGTCATTTCAGCAAACTTTATGTAATTAAACCCTAAACCCTAAACCCTAATTTAACGAAGCACTATGAACAAATGCTAAAGAAATTACCCCAGAGGTAGCATCAATTGGATGTTCCAAATCAATATGGCAACACAGCTCAAGAATATCAAAATCGTCTTCGCAAAACGGGCATGGGTAAAACGTTTTCAAGCCATAATCATCAACGTCAGCATCTCTATTATCCTCTTCAAAATCGATTAAGAGCTCTGTTTCAAATAATTTATAAAAAAAATAAAAACATTTAGCGAAAAAGCTTGAACAAAATCGATTAAAAAAAAGCAGTTAGAAGAAAATGAGGAATGACCTAACTGAGATTTGAGCTTTGATTGGTAGGTATGATTTTCCATTTGAGTAATGTGGAGTATTAGGGTTGTTTTGAAGTGGGAATGAATGGAAATAGTGAGTGAGAGAGAGGGAGATGGAAGTGAATGTGGTACGTGTTAATGGCAAAAGTAAGGAAAAAAAAGAGGAGGAAAGTAAGCGATGACTTTTGGGTTTGGGAGAGTTCTGAGTTGTTGCGTTGGAGACCAGATCCTTGGCCATTACGAAACCTACCCGTCTTGCATTTACTAAAATGCCCTTCGTTGTTATGCATCTAAGATTGCTATGGGTGTGGGTTGATATGTAAATTTGGTTACTTAAATCAAACTTTAATTTTTGTTTTCATCCAATTTAATTATGTTTGAATTTTACTTGAACCAATTTATTTAAATTTAAAAACATTTAATCTGGACGGTGGGTTTGATATTTTTAATTTACGAAATTAAAAAAAATTTAAAATATTTTGTCGAAATGTATTTCTTAGTTGAACACGAAATAATAATAGGTAGAAGATGACTATTGTAAAATATTTTTTAGTATAATAGAGGTATATGGTGATCAGGGAGGTAGTATTTGTAAGTTTATCACTCTAACGTTTAAGTTGGTCAATGAGATAGATAGACCTTCTAAGTGTAGGATGCATAAGGTAATTGGATGAGTATCAATGACGAAGAAAGGGTATCGCTTTAATGTGGTGGTTTGGTGTGTGTGTGGGCGCGCGCGTGAGTACCTTTTCATATTCTTGATGAGCGCTTGTGTTTAGATTAGGCCTTTGAATTTGGTCGGACTTATTTGGCCTTGGCTATTGTGATACGGTGGGAGAACTGACTTGATTGTTTTGCGTTTGTGTTCGCAAATATTGCGGTTTAGTAAGAGTCGCCACCGACTTTTCTTTTATCCAAAAGGAAATGTGAAAAAGCACAGGAAATACCTTTAGAGATGTTTTCTTGAGTTCGGGGGGTAGATTATGAAAAGGGAAGGTATTAGCACCCTTTTCATCCATGGTTTTCCATGGGCTCTTAGTTACTCGCTAGATCATTTGCTTTTGTTTGAATGTGCTTGTGGTGTGGTTTTTGAAAGTATTTTGAAAATGTAACTTTGTAATGATTCTCGTTTCTATAAGAATGTGTACAAAGTTTTATTTTGAAAATAGTTCAAAGAGGTGTTTGTGGATGTGTTTTTGAAAGTGATTTTGAAAAAGGTTTTCTTTGTAATGACTCTCGTTTCTATAAGAACGCGTACAAAGTGTTACCTTTTGAAAATGTTTCAAATGGAAGTATGAGTGTATAAAATGTTTTTGTTGTGAGCAAGCGAGTAACTAAGAGCGAACCTACCTACTCAAAAGGTCTTAGATGTGCTTTTCCTCCTCCTTTAGATGTTGCTATCTTACCATCGATTTGGTAAAAAGCCTCATCGTTGGATGTGAAGGGACAGACGTTGGGACGTTTGTATAGTCATAGAAGGCAACCCACGTGACGTTTTAGCAATGTCGTTTAGGGACTAGATCATTTACCGAAAGCATCATCGAGGGTCATCGAGGGACTACGATCTTTTATCGAGGGTCTTTGCTAAAACGTCCATGTTCGAGGGACATGACTATTTTTCCGATATGCAGCAAAGTGATATTACCCTAAGGGTGCATGTGTGCAAGTGTGTTTGATTGCATGCATTTAGTCTTGATTAGGGTTATCTACTTGTTGATTTTATCTTGTCATATACACCCTAATTACTAGCATTTACATTTGAAAGCGATAAATTGCAGAAATGTAAACTCCTACGCTATTACAATATTTATGGGATGGGGGTACATATTTATGAATGGGGATAGCAAGTAAAATTAAATCCTAAGTTATTATTACAACCATATTGAAATGCATAATATAAGAAAGAAATGAACTTGTTTAGAAAATGTTTTTGTCTTAAGGAAATAAATTAAAAGGAAAATATTTTTATGTTTTTTTTATGTTAATAAAAAAAATGATGAAAAGGAAAATAAATGTAAGATAGAAAAAGCATGCTGCATGCAAGAAGAACAACAACTAGGATCAGAAGTTCTGAAGCCAAGAGCGTTGTGACTCAGCAGAAGACGTCAGTGGATATCAGAAGTTCTGAGTTGATAAACTCTGAGGTCCTGCAAGAAATGTTAGAGGACAAACACAAATTCTGGGTTACATTCAGACAGTGGGCCACAAGTCAGAAGTTCTGTATTACACTAAAACAATGAGTAACGTCAGCAGTTCAGTGCGTTACCAGCATGTAAAAATCAGAAACTCTGAGTGTTTGAAAACAATGAGTGGAAACATCAAAAGTTCAGTGTATTTGACATGCAAGGAGAACTCAGAAGTTTTGTGTTGTGTTAGAACAGTGAGTGAATCATCAAAAGTTCTGTGTGTGTTAACAGCATGTAAGCATCAGAAGTTCAGTGTGTGTCAACAGTGAGAAAAATCATAGAAGTTATGTGTGTTAAAACAGTGAAGAGAACTCAGAAGTTCTGTGTGTGTTTAACAGTGAGAAAAATCATAGAGGTTTTGTATGTTAAAACTATGAATGAACATCAGAAGTTTTAATGCCAAATTTCAACACTCAATCATCACACCAGTAATCTATTCAATTCTTAATAAACAACAAATCAGAAGGATAAGAGCACAACAATTTATAGAAGTTCTAATCCTGATCCAGAGCCTAGCCTTAATCAAGAAGTTCTGATCCACAGTTTTTCTACTTAAGCAATAATATGTACAATATTAATACTATGATATTTACATGTTAATGATGTTCAGAATGAAAAATAAGCAAAGTCAGAAAGACTTACCTTGAACCTGGAGTGTGCTTGGAGCTTTGAGTGGATGCCTTTGGATGTTCTGACTCAGCAAGAGAAACGGAAGAGGAAATGTCAAGTTCTTTGATTCAAAGGGAAGAATAAAGATTTTGTTTTTGTGTATGAGAAATCTGGATTTTTATGAAGGTTTCACAACTTCCTTTTCTCTCTTGATAATTCTCTCTTTCCAAAATCCAGCCCCTTGAACGTGTGATGGAACCGACTATTTATAGATAGATTTGATGTGGTTTTGGGGGGAAAACAAATGAGTTTTAAATTTTTTTGGCATACTGTCCCTTTGCTTTTCAATCACAGTTTTCGTAGGCTAATTTGGTGCAAGAAAAACGCAGGTGTGGACTGGATCAACAACACCTTGGAGTGTTGTGGCAGCTGGTTGCAGGACTGCGCCATGGCAGGGCATCAGGTTACTTAAACGAGGTTTTGGTGATGTTCTGATCACAAAAGATCATAAGCGTAACCTCCAAATGCTGAAGGGGAATCTTCTGGCCGGAGCGTTGAACATAGCCTCCATATGCTGAAGAATCATGTTCTGACTGAAACATCATGTTCTGACTGAAACATCATGTTCTGACCAAAGAGCATCGCTTCTGCATGTTCTGATTGAAGCGTCATATTCTGAACCGTGTTTGCAACTTCTGACTGCACTTGCATAGAGGCTGGCTCAGAAGTTCTGAAGTGTCATATTCTCTAGACACTTAGAAAATTTTCTAAATGTTTAGAAAATTTGATTTTTAAAGTAACTTCTGACTTTTGATTTTTGATGAACCAATTTCATGCCTTAATGAAATATGATTCTTGGAACTTGTTTTTTTTTATTCAAAAGTCATAGTTTGACTCCTTCGGTGTGTAAATGACCATTTTGCCCTTGTGAACGATTCTCTTGGAAAATTTGTAATTTCAGATTTGCAATTGGATGGAAGCAAACTTGAGGGCAACTTCTATCTCTTCGAAGAAGTCCCACCAACTGTTGGAGTAACCAAAGTTGTTTCCCAAATCCCAAAGATTGCAAGGCCTCCGCTAAAGATGTCTTCTCTGAAAGATGCCAAGGCAGTGATAGAAGAAGGTGGTTGCACTATTTGGGGAAAACTCCCAGATATACCATACAAGTCTGACAAATTTGGTTTGGGTTTCACTTCAGGAGCCCATAAAGTTGTACGTCGTGCTCGCACCGGGGGACTCCCTTTGAAGATCAGCAACTAAGGAGTCAATGCAGTGGAGGATGATGAGGACAACTACGACCTGGAGGATTGGATTTTCCCGACTGTCAACGGAGGACTCAGCAACTGGGAAGCTAATGATTTTGTCCCAATAACTTTTATCTAACAGTAATTATCTTTAAATTTTGTTGGATCTGTAATAATTAAAAAATTCAGACTTTTAAAGCCTTGTGTCTTATCCGAGGCACAATGGTCCATTTGTAAGGGTTGTTATCTCATTTTCATATGTCATCAATGAATCATGGACGTTTTTGCATACAAACTTTGTGTTCTTTGTCTTTCTTTTTTACATTTTTACTTTCTTTCAAAGATAGCTATACTCTTACACACACTCACATTCAAAATGCAGATCTACATCCATTCCGGATCCCATGGGTAACGATTCTGCTATGGCCTTTTGTGACTCTGAAAATCTAATCTACCAAGCCAAAGATGAAGGTGAGGAAGATTGTGAAGTTCCAGGGGAACTAGCAAGGTTACTACAACAAGAAGAGAGGACCATTCAGCCCCAGGAAGGACCAGTGGACACAATTAACCTAGGTACCGAAGAGGACAAGAAAGAAGTCAAGGTGAGTGCCAATCTGGAACCCAGTGTCAAGAAGCGTCTGATTCAGTTACTACATGATTATGTTGAGGTCTTTACTTGGTCGTATGAAGACATGCCAGGACTTGATGCAGATATCGTGGTACATCGTCTACCAACAAAAGAAGATTGCCCTCCGGTAAAACAAAAGGTTTATCGCATGCGACCAGACATGTCAGAAAAGATCAAAGCGGAAGTCATGAAACAATTCAATGCCAGATTCTTGGTCGTAACCTCCTATCCGCAATGGATCGCTAATGTTGTTCCCGTACCTAAAAAGGACGACAAAGTATGAATGTGTGTAGACTACAGAGATTTGAATAGGGCAAGCCCTAAGGATGATTTCCCACTTCCCCACATCGATATTTTGGTTGACAATACAGAACA